AAATAATTTTATCATTTATAAATAATCAATAAATGAATTTTTTATTTAAAAAAAAAAAAAACTCATTCCCGAGGCCCTTCCCCAACCTTCTAATCATCCCCCAATTCCTCTCAGCCACTGGCATCCACCATCGCCGCCCGGTTTTTCTTGTAGCTGCCGGAGAACCGACGGCTTCCGCATGGTAAAGATGAGAATCTGGAATTTGGTTGTGGGTGGCTGTCTGCTGCGACTGCAAGAGCCAAGAAATAAAAATTCAAACAAAAACAAGTTTCTCCGAATAGATGGAGAAGATGAAGATCCAGAAAATGCAGGGAAACAAAAACAAAGCATTATAATTTCATCCCCTGCCTTGTTATTTTTTTCTTGCTCTCAGTTTACCGGGAAACAAACGGAAAGTTTTCTACTTTTCCTGGTGTTTGAATTTCTGAAAGACTGATGGAGGAGAAGAAAATAAGCATCGGGGTTCGAACTGGTAACAAAAAAACTCGAAAGATTGGTGGATTTTGACAGAGAGGGCCGTTTCTTTCAATGCTGAAAAAATTTAACGACAGTCAATGGAAATTACCGAGAAAAAAAATAAATAAACAAACAAAAATGAGAAGAAAATTAAATCCCTCTCTCTTTGGTTTTCTCCCTGCTTTTATCCATCTCTCTTCTTTTTTCTTTTGGGTCTTTTGATTTGATTCCTGGGCACCATTTTCTTTCCCTCTTTAGCCTTTCAATTTCCCTTCAAAGACAGAATCTTTATATGGTTTGGGCCCAAAGAATCAAAGAATTGAACAGCAAATGTGTTGTGGGAATTCTGAGTTTTGAATCTTTTTCAAATTTCAGAGACCCCTTTTGCTTTCAAACTTGTTATCTGATTCTGGGCAGCAGTGATCAGATTGGTTTTAGAGAGAGAGAGAGGAGAGAGATTGATATGCATCTTTCAGTATGGAAGCCAATATCTAACTGTGCAGCTCTACCAATGGAGAAGAAGACCAGGAGGAGGAGAGACAACGGTTCTGGTTTGGCCGTCGACGCCAAGCGGAAGCCGTCGGTTCTCCGGCAGCTGCAAGAAAATACCGGGCTGCGATGGTGGCGAGAGGAATTGGGGGGATGATTAGAAGGTTGGGGAAGGGCCTCGGGAATGAGTTTTTTTTTTTTTTTTTTTTTAAATAAAAAACTCATTTATTGATTATTCTATAAATGATAAAATTATTTAGCTTTAATGGGACAGATGGCGTTATTGGATTGGAAGGGAACACCACCTGTACTGCTGAGGTGTGTGTTCCCGTCACCCTCAAAAATTTCTCCCTGCAATGGTCTCAACCTGCGATGGCAGCTGTAATGACAGTGATGAAGGGATAGAGTAGAGAGGAAAAGGAAAAGGAAAGGATATTTTATTCAGTAATTCAATTCTGCCCTTACAAATTCATCTGGCCACCATTTAACCACATGCCAGAGAAGTTCTCCCCACTACATGTGTGCCAGCTGGACACCACTCACTAATTAACTAAACTCTCAAAAGACTTAGGCAAATACAATTGAACCGGTTACAAAACCCTTACACTTTTTAACCCAAAATCCCTTACAAACATTCCTATATAACCACTATTTGTTTCCTTTCTTACGGTTCATAACACTACGGCATAGGAATGAGGGATTCGATGGACTCCGATGGAGTGCGTCGGATAGTGGACTGGTTCTTCATACTGAGAAACGTTGGTTTCGGGATGCCAGTAGTACAGAACTCCATTGTTACCGTCAAACACTCGCCTCCACGGCGGGGGAAGTGTAGGATCCTAAGAAACAAACCAAAGATTCAAGTGACCCTCGATTCGAACCAAGATTCGAACCAAAATTCCCTCATGGAAATACATTAGTTATAACAAAAACCTGATAAGTTAGAGTCGCATCAGATGGTGGAAGGTCTGTGAGGTTGAAGAAGTTAGGGCTTTGCAGGGGTTTGAGATTTGTGTGCTATCAGAGGTGCCATGACGGATCATGGTTGTGGGTAGGTTCGTTATTGTTCGCGGGTTTTTGGATGGGCCAAAGTGAAAAGCCTGCGTATTGAGGGACGAATGCATGTTCCACGTTTCCTTGGGTGGGCATGAATATACGCCCCCCTTCGTTTTTTCTGGAAACAAACGTTCTACCTAGGAAAAAAGAGTGTGGGCTAAACCTCACAATAAACTAGTAATAATGTGATTTAAATTTGTTTTTTACGAAAATCGAATATAAGAGCTTTCACTTACAAGTAAAGAGAATATTATTAAACCGTAATACTAAGTGGTATATATATGCCCATATAATTTATAACCATTTAACTTTTATTTAACTATAATTAAATTGTAAATTAATTTAAATTTAAAAATTCATCTAATAGACAAATTAAATCAAACTCATGTAACAGTAATCAATACATTAAAATATCGCTCATACATTATGAAATGTATACTATCAGTAGCAAAATGAAGTCAAAATATAAATTGTTGAAAGCTGCGTATTATATTCCAGTCTAAAAAGAGCTTCAAGTATGCGGCAAAAACAGGTAAATGAAAGGGCTTATATGATAACCAACTCAGCTCCAGGTGGTAATTGTGTTCCAATAAGCTGCAAAGCATGCTCCTTTGTTGCTTCTAATTTCTCTTCGGTTGTAACAGACTCTAGCAGTATATAGGGCCGACGACCTTTTCAAGATCCATGAAGAACTTTTCAAGTACTACAGCATTTTCCATCAAGTACATGGCAAATTCCTTATCGATAATTGACCCTCCCATTCCAATGAACCCAGAAAATCTCACCACCTTAAGGCGTTGATGAGGACATCTTTTAATCTCCTGCATATTTCTCGTATAACACTTATGAAAAGATCCCCATCGTAACTGCAAGAGGAGCATGCCATAATCACACTAATCTGCCTCATGACAAGTTAATCTAACATGCAGAAGTTTGCAAAAAAGGCTTGTTGATTAAGAGCATACATTCCACCCTTACACTCGAAGTCTCGAGTTTGGTTTCCCCTCCTACTATCGCTTATCAAAACATGTAAAAGTTTCACTCGGTAGTTATAAAGCATGCAAAAATAGTCAGTGAGGGGTTGGAATGATGGCATGGGTTTAATTTTGTTGAAAGTATACAAAGTGATCATACTAAAAAGGATACAAACTGATTCTATTAAAAATATACAAAACTGATTGTTGATGCAAATTTCCGCCATCCTTTACTTTGACGAAAATGCACCTGCAAAACAATCGACACTTTCGATCAAGGACCAAAAACCTCACGCGCCCACGATGAGGGTGGTTTGGCCAATGGACCTCCAATGCCTAAGTTAGTTTCTCTAAATAGAATGAGTGTTTAGGGTTTTTTTGTGTATAGAAAAGCTTACCGAATTTTGGTGGAGAAGTAGGGTAGTTATAGAGAGGGTGGCCAGCCCTAGGGTTAGATTTTTGTGAGAATATTCCCATGATATTGTGTAAATAATATCGTGGGATAATGGTGATAATATCCCAGATTAAATTTGATTGGAATTACGTACTTGAAAGAGTTTATCTTTAATTGAGAATGTATTAATGATAGGATTTATGGATATTCTGTCATAAATACTTTTGATTTCTTCCACGTGCAGATGAGCTTTGAGCAACCGTTGTCCGCTGCCTGCATGTCCAAGGATGTTGAGCTGCACATGGGGAATATAAATATACCATGCTCATTAATAGGGGTAATTTTGTCTTTCTCAGCTAAAAGTCCACGTACTGCCTCCATGATTTTTGGATTATTTTTTGCTCCACACTGATTCTACATATATTTGAAACTGATTATGCAAAAATAGTCGATGGGGGGTTAGATTGATGGCATGTATGTAGTTTTGTTTAAAGTATACAAACTAATTCTATTAAAGTCATACAAATTGATTCTAGTAAAACGTATACGAAACTGATTCTACTCAAAGGTATATGAAACTGATTCTACTAAAAAGTATACGAAACTAATTTTGTAAAAATAATGGATGATAGGTTGGATTGATGGCATGTATATAGTTTCATTAAAACTTTACAAACTAATTCTACTAAAACTATACAAACTGATTCTATTAAAAAAATAATGGTCGATGACGAGTTGGATTGATGACATGTATATATATGTTTTGGGCTAGGCTTTAGGTATTTTGTGGTTTTGTCTCTCATTGAAATGTTTAAAAACTAGTGGAGTTCTTTGAAATATAATATATATTTTTGGCTCTATATATAGAGCTTCATTTTTGTTAGTACTTTGTAAGTTTGTTAAAAAAAAGGCAAGTGCGCTTCATGTCTGGGTTTACAATCGTCAATACAAACAATAATTGACTGATTTTTATGTTTTAGCTTTTTTTTTATTTTGTTTTTTTTGTTTTTTTTGTTTTTGAGTCGATGTTTTAGCTTTTTGTACACTCTTGTTTAACTTGATCGTTAGTTTGATTTATTCAATCTGATAATCATAAATAAATAAAAAGTGTACGAAAAGTTAAAAAGGAAGTGTGAAAAATGAAAATTACTTGAATTAACTCATAAGCCCATAACATGTTTAGTCAGCGAACAACCATCCTCATATGTTTTCAACTTCTAAATTCAAGCAATTGTTGAAACTTGAAAATAGCAATTTTAACTTCGCATGTGAGGAGGCGCACATGGATTTTTTGATAAAGTACTAACAAAAATTTCAATTTAGACCATAATAACCTAACATAGTACTAAAGTTTCCCAAGATGGGATGGATAATAGCCCATAACTTTATAGAAAAGTGATTTCTTAGAAGACTAGTAGCATAAGAGTGATTCACCATTGCAACAACAACTAGTTCTCGTGTCAGATTCTCTCGTCCTTATATCGCAATTAAAATTAATAACTAATAACTTATAGCGTAGACGAGAAATTTCCAATTACACAGGATTATTGCATTTTATTTGGTACATAGGATAGGCTATTGTCTTTATGACAATATCTCCTAGGCTAAACATTGCTTTTACCCATATTTTTTTAGGCAAAAGGCCTTTGATTATAACAATCCAAATTGTCTCCCGGGCTGACTTGCAATATCTCACAGTACCTTCTGTAGAACCCGATCCGACTAGCAACCCTAGCATCCTGACCTTTGCCGCATTCAAGCCCTCCATTGATGATGTTGGTGATCACTCCATACCCAGGAACCCGACCGGCTGATTTGTCTGCACTAGATGGGCTCCACCTACCAGTGATTACATCATGGCTTGATGGCTTGTTTCCCTGTGGAGTCATCCAAAACCATATAGCTGTCCTGAATGATACAACCGGGTCTGTGGCCACTAGATCCGGGTTGTTTATCAGATCCTTTCCGATTGCTTGGCCCGCTTGACCATAGTTGTAGTTGCTAGAAAAGTCAAGAAGTCAAAAAGCAAGTCAATCTCCCATCAACTAGTCAACAGACCAGAGCCAAGAAATAAATCTACTAACTGGCACGTGGTGTTATATTTCATCTTTGTTTCTCCGGATTCTTTTTATGACGATCTTAAGAATTGATGAATTGTTTTCGTTTATTATATATGATTAGATCAATTTTCGTAAGGTACTGTTTGTGTTCAATTTTAAATAAAAAAATTTAAAACTATTTCTAACCGTACGATATACGATGAATGTACACAATGCACAAATCACCGGAATCCTCACAAAAGGATCCGGAGAATAACACAAGTGCCTTGAAAGATGACTTTTTACGCTCACTTTTCTTCTTTCCACACTTATTTATTTGATATTGTAGTAGTGTGTTTTTACTATTTTCTCATTTAATTTATTTAATTTAAAATTTGAAAACAGAAAAATTGGTGTGCAAAACGACACTAAAACATAAATTTATTGTCCTCTTATAGATAGGGTGTTAGGTTTCTACCAATATATTCAGAGTTCGAAAACCTCCCCTCCCCAAAATTTTTGTAATAATTTTGACCCTCTCTCTCTCTTAATCATAATTTTTTTAAATAAATAGAAATAAAAAAACATATATTAGAAACACCACATAGTGATTTTACCATATGACCCTTTAAGAGAAAGGATCCTCATTTTTTAATAAAATAGGGATTAGTTATGGGACTCACACCACATCGAATTTCAACGATCCGAACCGTCTATTTTGTAAATCTCGATTCATAGGTCATGCTTGGAAAAATTCAATTCAATCCGAAATCAATTGCCAATTGAATTATCACAATAAAATTTCACTAGTTTTCTTAGAACATAATGTTCATCAATTTCTTTGAACTCAATTAGATGCCTCAAATATTTTTTATTTGACTAATATTTTGCAAAGATAATCTATGAGGTGCAACTTAAAAAATAAACGATTCAAATTATTAAAATTCGATGCAGTGTAGGCTGCTTCCTTAAAAGCTTCCTTTTATTATTACACCCAAATAATTTTCTTGACCCACTACCAAGTCGGTGAATGCCTTTTTTGTTTTTTTTTGGACAAATAAGTTGGTGAATGCCTTGATTTTAAAAGTTAAGAGACTTACTGGGTGAGTTGGATGGGTCCTCTGCCATAATATTTCTTGCCGGCAGCACATGGATATTGGCTGGACGGTGTACAATACACATCCTGGTTTTTCTCATTGACAAAGCAATATCCCCATGCATAAGGACCATCTGGTGCACTTGCCCATCCTCCTACATAATTAACATTGACGATTAAGCACAAAAATAATGTATAGTAAGGTTCTATAATACGAGCGCTGTTTTTTTAAAACCATCCAAATGATGGGTCCAATTTTTTTTACAAAACAGTATTATCCCGAATTCTTTTAAATTATGAAAGAAAAAGTTTGAACTTGAGTATATATAAGGAAATACATTGATTTAGCCAACTTAAGACGATCATTACTGAATTAGTTTTATGATTTTATGACAATTTAAACACAGAAAACTAAACAAACAAAACAAACAAACATAACCGTTATTTTAGTACTGACCAGTAGTCTCATGAGAGGTTTGAGCCAAAAAAGCAGCCAGCTCCTTTTTGCGAGTAGCAACATCCCCAGTTGTGCCAAACCCATTAAAGGACCGAGCAGCAGCAATGAAAGCATCATACTTGTAAAAACCATTACTAGGGCATCTCCCATCGTTTCGATACTTAAGCATTTGGTCGAAAACAGATGAGCTAACGAGGCTGCTGACGTCACCACCACCGCCACTTGGGGTTGGGGTTGGAGTAGGTTTAGGGGTTGAGCTACACTGGCTCTGGCAACCAGCTGCGCAGTAGTCGGATGTGGTGCCACACCACCCAAACTGGCTACAACACAGCCCATTTGGGCACACGGCACCACCAGCTTGACTCCCACATTGCTCTGCTGAGATCCCTAGCAGCAAACTTAGGGACAAAATGATAAGGGTTTGCAACTTCATTTTTTTTTTCAAGTGTTTGATGGTTTTTTTAATCTATGAATTGGGTTTTGGAGGTGTGAGTATATATATAGTGTTTGTGGAGCATTCTCGTTTGACTATTCGCTCAGTTTGGTTTTTGGGTACAAGTTTCTTCTTGATCGATCAAGTGCCCCATTTTATATGCCGTCCTGTTGTGGAACTTGTAGAAAAAGTTTCATTTATTTAGTGACGTTGAATTTTGGGAGGATATGCTAGAGCAGACCTAAAGATATTTGATTACTGATTGACTAGTTCATCTCTTATCCACTTCCCCCTAAAACACGTCAATAGATAAAAGATTACCGAATTCAAGGAAAAGGGTAGTAATTGGACAGACCTAAAATTGCAGCTCGGGTACTTTAGTTTGAATCTCACTTCGTCAATTCAAAATTTTGAACAGGAACTTTAGGGAAAAACATCATGCACTAAAATCTTTCCATTATCTTCACAGAGAATGTTCATGATGACTTTTACAAAATGAAAATAACTATTAAGTGTAAGAATGTAATTGAACAGTTGTCATAATCTTGGATGTACATGTGTCATAATCTTGTGTCATTTGGTAGTTAGAGGATTACTTAGTCATTAAGTTTTCTATTTCTATATATAGCTAGAGAGATAACAGTTGTAACTAATCTTGCACATTGTAATGAAATCAGTTTATATTCTTGCTCTCCAAACTTTTCTCTCAATTTCCTCTTTGCTGAATCTTCCGCTAGTTTGTTAAGATGGTACCGAGAGCTTAGGTTTTTGAGGATCCTAAGCTTAGGGGAGAGAACTGGTAAAGATCTAGAGTTTCGCTAAAAGTTTATGCAAGTTCGCATAGTTTTTGCAAGTTTGCATCTCTTTTTCTACAACAATGGCGGTGATCTGTATTAATGGCAGTGATCGTTGACAGAAATTAGGTTTTTCTTTCCAAAAGTGTTTTTCTCTATTTACGATTGAAGTTGTAGTTGTAGATCTGAAACTTGTTGCAATTTTGAGGCACGAAGCCCCTAGTATTTGAGTTTTTGAAGATTCTTGAAAATTTTGCACGAAGCTATATAAATTTTGTTTGTGAAAAATTTTCTATCTGTGAATTGTTTCAATTGGTGATTGGAAGAAGAAATTGAGCACGAAGCTTGTTGAATTTGTCCAAATCTTGAAAATCGATAAAATTAGGGCACAAAGCTCTTTTGATTGAAGATTCTGAGCACAAAGCTTTGTGCATTGTTGAAGAGTGTGAATTGGTGTGTGGCACAAAGCCTATTCCTGCTGATTTCTTCTCTAATTCAGCATTATATTGTGATTGTTGCTTTGGCCTCTACACCTTTGAAGATTGTTGGATTACTTGGGATGCTTACTCTGCGATTACAAGATGATAACTTCGCTAAGTGGTCATTTCAGTTTCGTTCTGTGTTAGAAGGTTATGATTTGTTTGTTTACTTTTATGGTACCAATGTCTATCCTCCCAAATATGTGATTTCACTTGACAATGGTGTTACTAAGGAGATTACTGATGCATACAGACAATGGATTAAGATAGATATGGCTTTACTAAGTCTTCCAATTGTAACATTGGGGGATGAAGCGATTGAATATGTAGTTGGGAGTAAAACAACTTATGAAGCTTGGACACACTTGTGTGATCAATATGCAACTGTTTCACGGGCAAGAATTAATCATTTGAAGACTGAACTTCACACCATAAAAAAAGGGACCGATTCCATTGAAAAATATATTATGAGACTTAAGCATCCTAAAGATCAGTTGCTTGCTGCAGGGGAAAGCATTTATGAGAATGATTTGATTGTGGCTGCATTAGCTGGCTTACCTGCAGAATATAACATGATTAGAACTGTCATTGTGGCTGCATTAGCAGGGGAAAACATTTCTGAGAATGATTTGATTATTGCTGAATTAGCTGGCTTACCTGCAGAATACAACATGATTAGAACTATCATTGTAACTCGAGAATCACCTATTACTCTTAAAGAATTTCATGAACAGCTGCTAAGTGCGAAGAAGATTGTAGAAAAATCACCTTATTATGTTCAGTTTCCAATTTCAGGGATGTACTGTGAAGGAAAGTCCTCCAATAATGGAAATCAGAGAAAATTCTATCAAGGATAATCCTTCAACATTGGAGCAAATGGACAGTTCTATCAGGGTGGTTCTTCAACTCAGAATGATTCTAATTTCAATAGAAGTGCTGGATTTGTAGGTCAGTATAAAAAACCTCCAGGAAATATGGTAATACTGAGAACAACTACAATGGCAATTCTGGTGGCAATATAAATTTTAGGGGTTTTAATTGTCCAATGAACAACTGTAGACCTCAAAACAATGGAAGTTATAATGATGGTAATTGAAACAATGAAGGGTTTTCTGGTTCCTCAGGTAGTTATCAATCTAAGAATGGTTCATTTGGTGGAGGTTCATCTGGGAATTCTTGTTCTAATTGGAATGGCAATACTAGCCAATAGTCTAATATCATACATAAGTGTCAAATTTGTAGCAAACGTGGACACACTGCACCAAACTATTTTTACATAAATAAGCAACAACCTGTCTCTGATGATTATATTCCAAAGTGTCAAATTTGTGGAAAACGGGGTCACACAGCACTCAATTGTTATCACACGAGTAACTATGTGTTTCAGGGTGCTAATCCACCTTCCTCATTCACTGCAACGGATGCAAGTGCATATTCTGAATTCAATGCTATTCAAGCATGGATCATGAATACATGTGCTACACACCATATGACAGGAGATATGGTCAACTTAAACATGGTTACACCTTTTGAGGGAGATCAAAAGATCACAGTGGGAAATGGAAAATGTCTTCTAGTGAAAAATACTGGTTCAAATTCTTTTTCCACTACTTCTAAACCATTGCATTTGCTAACTGTCTTACATGTTCCTCATTTAGCTACAAGTTTATTGTTAGTTTATTCCTATGTAGAGACAATAATTGTTATGTTATTCTTGATGAGTTTGGTTTTTGGGTGTAGGACAAGGCAACAAAGACAATATTAATAAGAGGAATGAGTAATTGGGGATTGTATTACATTCCAATACATATGTTTTTCAACCATAATAAGTTGTTGTAGACACCACCAGCTGCTTTTCTTGGGAAAATGATCAAGGCTTCAATGTGGCAACATAGACTAGGTTATCCTAGTAATGAGATTTTACATATTATGCTTTCTCTATCCAATATTTCCTATAAGGCTGATGTAGACAAACATGTGTGTAAATTATGTCTCAGTGGCAAGATGTCTAAAAAAAGGTTTTCTTCCAGTTCACATGTGTTTGTAGAACCATTTGAAAGAATAAGTAGTGATGTTTGGGGGCCATCACCAGTTATATCAGTTGAGAGATATAAATACTATGTTAGTTTCATTGATGATTTCACCAGATTTACATAGATTTTTCCCTTGTGCTATAAATCTCCAGTTCAGTCTATTCTTGAGCACTTTTATGCTATAAATCTGAAGTACTTTCAATCTGATGGTGGTGGTGAGTACATGATTAAGAAGTTTAAGAATTTTCTGGCCTCCAATGGTATTCTACATTTAGTCTTTTGTGCTTACATTCCTCAGCAAAATGGAGTGGCTGAGAGAAAGCATAGACATTCTATAGAAACTATTATTACTCTATTAACTATTGCTCATTTGCCACATAACTTCTGGTTTCATGCTGTGTTTCTCATTAATAGAATGCCTTCTAAAGGTTTAGGCATGTAGTCTCCATTTCTTAAGTTGTTTGAGGTTCATCTAGACTTGAAAGGTTTTAAAATTTTTGGTACATCAGTTTATCCCTATCTGAAGCCTTATACTTCTAGCAAATTGGATGCTAGAACTAATCAATGTATATTTTTAGGTTATGCTTTGGGTTATAAAGGAATTGTGTGCTATCATAAAGATAAAAAGAAGTCATTCATCTTCATATATGTAGTTCATGATAAAACAGTTTTTCCATTAATTAGTGCTCTTAAAGTATCATCTATTTCAAAGCAATCTTATTCCTCAATGAAACATCCTACTCTAGTTCCTATTGTTGTACCATATTTCAGTGGTTCACAGCAGTCTCATGATAGAAATAGTAGTTTAGTTTCACTCACGGATCATGATGCTAGTTTGAGTTTTTCAGCTTCTACGTAACACAGGGATTCTGAGTTATCATCACCAGGGTCATCTTCTTCTGGGAATCGGGAAAATAGTTTTGGTACTGGTTCTACAATACAAGCATCTCCACAACATACTATTCATTCCTCTCCAAATTCCAATACTTTGTTGCCTGCCCACAGTCCTGCACACCCTTGAGGTACGTCTCTTTCTTGATAATAATAATGCTCCTGTTGAAACATCTGGTGATTCAGCTATTTCTCTATCTTTATGTCTTCTCATCATCCTATGCAAACAAGACTTAAGTTAGGGGTTATTTTCAGAAAAGATTATAGTTCTTTTGCTACTTCAACTTTTGATTGCTCACAATTGTCTATCAATGTATCTTCTGATATTGCATTTAAAAAGGGTTATACTGCTGTTCTAAGCATTCAAGATTCTATTGAGATTACTACTTTTAGATCAGCTATTATTCATGATCATTGGAGGAATGCCATGGTAGAAGAATTTAATGCATTACAGAAGCAAGGCACTTGGGAATTGGTTCCACCACCCACTGATAGGAACATAATTGGTAGTAACTGGGTTTACAAAGTAAAAAAAAAAAAAAAAGATCAAAATGGAAATATTTCCAGGTATAAGGTACCGTTTTGGTACACAGACGGGACAGGACGAAATGGAGGTTCCGTGTTATGTTTGGTATGAGCAGGACGGAATGAGACGGTTGTTCCGTTCTGCGTTTGGTATGCGCTGGACAGAACGGAATCGAAGAATTAAATGACTAACTTATACTTGTTTCGTCTGTTGTTTGGTACAATGTTTATGCGTGAGACGAGACCTTTTTTTTTTTTTTTTTTTGAACTTGTTCATA